TTATAGCCATTGAAGAATGGAAATGTACATCGGGAAGATTATGAAGTCTATCGGGGAACAGGAGCAGGCGTCTATCAGAAATGTCAGAGCAGTCAGCATAGGGAACAGTAGTTGCACGACCTATTTTTGGGTAGCTTGCAAATGTTCAGGATAAAGGGTTGTACAGGTAGAACCATCTTTGGATAGCAACACCAATGGATTTCTAACGGCTAGTTGATCTTCCAAGACATCTCCAACGGGAAGATTTAAGATGGCTATTTAAGAGGAGAGCTTCTAGGCCAAAATGTTAGAGAGAACACAATGTAGGATCCGAATATTTGCTCTGAACTACTTTCCTTGTTGATATTGTTTCGTTCTCCCAAAGATCTTTATTATGATGATCTTGCCGTATAATAATCGTGTGAAAGATCAAGTGTATAAGAGTAACTGCAGTAGCTGAGTCCTGATAGTGTGATATATCATCTGTAAAGGATCAGCACCTGCCAATTGTAACTTGTTGAGCAGATTATTAGTGCAATCCAGCCAGTATTGCGACTATTAGTCTGGAGAGTGGATGTAGGCTTGGGGATAAAGCTGAACTACTACATATCTGCTTGCAAATCTTTTATATCTTTAATATTAGCATTACCTGATCTTTATTATCACGATTTGTCAAACAGCAGCACTCACCTAATTTTTACAAACTGTTTTTGCCAATGTTTGTCAAACAACCTATTCACCCCCCTTCTAGGTTGTATTGTTAGCCCCAACAAGGGCTTGGCCACTGCCGCAACTGCTGGTTGTGGGTTTGTTTTTTCCTTTTTTTTCTTTTTTTATAGCTTTTTCTAATTTAATTTATATTTTTTTCTTTTCTGACGTGGCGCTTGTTGGACGCCACATCATCACCACGTGTCTCAATAAATTAATAAAATAAGACACGACAACGGCACGTCAGCATTTTCCATTAGTAAATTAGACGGTATCAACTTTAGGACTCGATTGAACCTATTTAACAAGGTTTAGGACTCAATTTTACCTTTTACAAGTTTTAGGACTCAATTGCACTTTATGATAAGTTTTAGGACTTTCAGTGAACATATCCCTTAGTATTTAATTACTCTAACACTCCCGTGCATGCTTGGTCTTGTTTTTTTGCCTAGTACTAAGTATGGACATATATAATTTGAGAGGCAAATGGGGCTCGGAAAGATTTGAACTCGGGGCCTCCTGGCTCTAATACCATATGGGATTTGGTGGAACCATTACCAACTATTTTAAAAGCTTAAGCTATTAGATGAATGCATGATTTAATATTTAATTACTCTAATAGTAAAGGTGATCCACGAATTTTTTGTGAACATCCATACCACAAAAGCTCAAGAACAAGTGGTAGTTGTTACTTCCTGTCGAAGTGGCTCGAAAGCTAAACGCACTGAGATCATCTGCTTTCCGACGTGTGCTCTTTTTTTGGTTCTTGACAAAATTGCGTGTGAGCACAGATAGAAGCATCAACGCAACCAGCACTGTAAAAGGTTGCCCAAACTTTAGATCACGTTTCATTGTTACTCCTTCAATAACTCTTGAACCGAGTCTCTCTATTAATATGAAAGAATAAAATGCCTATATTCGGTTTGCTCAAGAAGAAGACCATGCAGAGCTGAGTTTTTGGCAATTTATACTTCAAGATGCACATGGGTTATGTCACGCCCTGAACCCTACGGCACGCGACAACCCTACCGAGGTCGACTCAATGCGACGTCCTAGGACCCGTCGCCGACCCAAAACCCAAAACAGAGAACAAGGCACATGCGGAAGCAACATGACACCCGTACATAATAAAACAACACATGACCAGGGATAGCGATACATACAATAAATACAACTTGCATTATTAATAGGGATTTACAATATCCATTCACGAAAATATACATATAAATCAAAATGGGTCAGCAGCCACTAACGTCAAAAAGGGGTATGTGGCTCGGGCGGTCAGGGTACTAAAACTAGGAAGGGCACCTATCAAAAAAGTGTCGGCCCATCCTAACTACGGTCAAGGGTAAACCCTAGGGTAACCAGTCCGGGTCGGATCCCGAGGACTCGAACGAATCGTCAAACGACTTAGGCTCGGAGTCCATAGAATCCGGCTCGGACTCAGCCTCCATTGGCTCCTCCTCGAACTCGTGCTCCGGCTCAGGCTCCAGTTCCATCGGTTCTAGCTCGGGGTTAGACTCCCACTCCATCGGATCCTCCTCCGGGTCAGAATCCATCTTGAAAATGATCGGCCGGGGATTAGAATCCTCCTCGGACTCGGCCTCAGGGCTGGCTACCTCTCCATCAATATGCTGCGGGTCCCATTGGCTCACCCCGACAATCGGAACATCAAAGGTCCTAAGGGGTCCATAAACCCCGAATGGGTCCCGAAAGCACCAACCCAAGTACTGATGAGCCTGGAACTGCGGCCCACCCACATCGACCCAAACTGTGGCAAAATGTCTAATATAAGTCTCCCCGTTCCCTACGGGGTACTCGATAACCGACCGCTCTATGCAGTACGGGATCCCAAAACGGATTGGTACTCCTGCCATCTCAAGGTCGGGAGTTTGAAAAGTTGGGGTTTAAACAACAGTGAGAATAAATCTCAGCGAGTAGGCTCCCTAAACCTAAACTAGGCTAACATGCACCTCCTGACAAGCACTAATCAACACATAATCCAGAATATAAATGACTTAGGCCCTCGGGCCCAAATCCAATACTTAATTGACCCTGTAGGTTAGGCACATGATAATTTCAATAATAACACAGAACCTAATCATGGCACATACACAACATCACTTGGCCACCACGCATGTCATGCACATGCTCATGCTCATACTCGTGCTCATGCTCATCGATGCACTCTTACACACTTGCACACTTTCTCAATTCTCCTCCGACCCGCGTAAAACGCATCAGGTCCAACCCGCGTAAAATGCATAAGGTCTATCACTTTCGATCGATCTCCGGCCCGCGTAAAACGAATCAGGCTCATGACACAACCCGCGTAAAACGCATCAGGTTGGCCATCTTCCGATAGTCCGGGCATCGTCCCGCGTAACACGCCTCAGGACAGGTTCGATACCCCGCGTAAAATGCATCAGGGTCTTAGGTGATCACACGTACACATTCACCAATTATTATCTGAACCCCGCGTAAAACGCATCAGGGCATTTTAGGTGATCACATACTCATGCCATTCGTGCATACACACTTGACGCACATGTTATGCCAATGCTCGATATGCACATTCATGGCCATAACATCCAATGCTCGGGCATTCATAAAATTCACATTGGGCACCCAATTTAACTTAGCCACATAATGGACAGTTCAAGCACACACAGCAAATTTCATAATTAATCCTCAATTTCGCCGAACAAGGCCCGATAAATTCCACTATGGCTAGCCACTAATCAGTCCACTCTAGGCCACTAAACAACTTCCAAATCAGCACATTAAACTTCCAAAATTACCACAAGATCAGCCACTACACGACCCATACAATTGCACCCATTTTAGTCCATATAATCGCCTAAATCAAATCCCCAATGAACAGCCAACAATCAGCCCGTTCTAGACTACCAATTCACATTTAAAACATCACATTAGGCTCCCAAATTCACCACATAATAAGCCTTAGTCAACCGCCAACATTTAACCCCTAAAATACCTTAATTAACCCCTAAAACTTGTCTAAAGTGCACATAATCCTAATTAGGGTTTAGGGTTTGTTCTCACAAAACTTCCTAAGCTCCAAGGGGTGTCGGTCAAGGGGGAAAACAGGTTGGACGGGCGCCGGCTCGTGGCGGAACAAGCGGCGGTGCCTACGGCCCTCACGGTGGCGTGCGTCGGTGGGCGCGGGTTGATGGCGTCCCGGCTGATCACGACAGCCAAAGGGGGCGCTGATGATGGTGGTGATGCGGCGAAATGGTGAGGAACAAGGGCTGAGGGTGGCGCAAGGTGGTGGTGGTGAGCGGTCTCGACGAGCGGCGGCGGCGTGGCCGCGGCGGTGGTGCTCCACGGTGGCTCTCACGGCCAAGGGGAAGGAGAATGGGAGAGAGGGAGTGAAGCGTGAGAGTGAGGGAGTGGCCGGTGGTGATGGTGAGAGTGAGAGGAGAGAGAGATTGAGAGGGAGTTTTAGAGAGATTGGGTGAGTGGGGTGGTTGAACTACTCAACCCAAAAATTTTCATCTTGCCCAAGTTTCAAGGGTTAGGATTGAATCTTGCTAAAATATCTAGGGCAAATTAGTCCATCAATTTTGACAATAATAGAGGCTGATCAAGTCTAATCTAAACCCCAAAATTCAGAATTAACACCTAGGGCCTAGGGGCAAAACGGTAATTTTTTACTCCCGGTCCGAAATGCCATTTTTCGACTAAATTGATCCCAAATATAATTGGTCACATAAATACGATGTCATCCTTGCAAAAATAATCGCGTACGTCGGTGAAATTCGACACCCAAGTCCGGACTCAATTCCACGATCAATTTCGCTCAAATGCGATTTTAGCGTCTATCACTAACGGGCGGCTGTTTAGGGGTTACGCGTATCGACCTATGGTTACTCGAGTCGTGACGGTCTCGATTCCCAAGAGAACACGAGGATTTTATCACTAGTTCCAGAGGTCGCGATCGTTCGGAATAAGTTCGGGATTGTTCGCCACGCGTACTCTCGATTGTGCGAAATAATCAGCGTTCCGATCGTATATCGTTAGCCAAACCAAATCCGTCACCCTCCTTGGATCGGCCCACATTGGCCCAAAATATTTCCTCGTCTTTTCTCGAAATCGGCCTCGATTCGCGGTCGAGTTCTTGGGTCCACGTACCGTTTTCCTAGTTAGACATTCCCTATTGGTCAGTATCCCGAGAATGATCAGTTTCGGGCGAGACTTACTAAAACAAAATGAGAAATAATCATCCATTTCATTGATCACAAAAGTGGGTCGAATTCAGGATGTTACAGGTCAAGAGGGAGAAAATAGACAAATTAATATTGTGTAAATGATAATAAAAGAACTTGACTAGTATCTTCCAAGTCAATTTGCACTCCTAATATTGCCAATGAGCTATTCCTATGTCAAGATTACAGTTGTAGTTGGAAGTCTTCGCTTCTGATGCAGTGTCAATTAAGCTCTCTACATAAGTAAAAATCATATGCACAGCTCCTCCCACATCATTTCAATTCCATAAACAGCTAGGTGGTACCCGAGCTCCGAAGATTTTTTCCCCCCGCCATCAGCCTAGCCAAAATGGTGCACATTTCTGGTTGAAACCACAACTGCTTATTGCAGGAGTGAATTTCCAATTCCGTTCAGTTGCAGCTGCAACAAAACATTCTGATTTGAGTAGTAGTTCAAGAAGAGATGGCATCTAGAGATCTAGATCAACTCTCAAACATTCAAGGACTGAAGCAAATCACCTTTCTAGCTCCCCATTGGGAACTTGTGATTTTTATCCAAAAGACATGAAAGCAATGCAGTTGATTTAACGACGTTCTCCATACTTCTGGTTTGGATGTGACACTGTTATCCACAATACAGCGAACATCCTCTGTTCGTTTAAAGCCTCTGAGGCATATTGTCATTAGCAAACAATGACTGAACTGAAGGAAGAAATTGCAATATAAAGGTAAGAATTTGCGAGATGATTAATAAAGGAAAGAAGTAAACAAGGAAAGAGTGGTCACATGATTTCGACCGGGTATTTTACCATTAATAATAATACTTTCAGTATGATCAAGGCCATATATCTACCTTCATAGAGAGCAATCTTCGTATTAGCATATCAAGTGATGAACAAAGTTTATATAGATCCATGGGATTCATAATTTTGACATTAATGCCCTGGCTTTGAGAAAATGCAAAACACGTTTATGGTACCTTCACAACCTATTCCATGACAATATAACGAAATCACTAAAATGCTATCAATAATCACTTATGCACGAGCAATTTCCAGAATCCATCAGATAGTGAATTTCTTTTCTTCATCCTTCTGAATAAATGGGACAACCAAATAGAAGTAGGAGAAAAGTATTACTTTACTCACCCAAGTGCATATTGATACCATGTCGAGGATGAAGAATCTCTTACTATTTGACTGAAGACATCTAATATACGTTTGGAGTCATCCTGATCTTTTTATTCTCATCATGACCACAAGCCAGATAACACTGAAGCATCACATTTACTTGCTCGAACAACTTCCCCCAGTTCCTGGAATTAAGATGGAAAATAATAACATGTCAAAGGAAATCCCCATGCAAACGAAAATACTAATGAAAGCAAGTAATCTCGACAGAAAAGCGGCAGTTTACCTGCTACATTAGGAGTCTCCAGAATCAGATCTTTGTCATGCTGCCATAATCTAAATCTTTTTCACAATTCTTTCATGCAGGGCAGCGTCCTCAATTCAAATCTTTGTATTTAGTATTATCAAATGCAAAATCTAACTTTAGCCTGAGCCTTAGTCAGCTTTTTGCCACTCTTTCCCTCCGGAATCATGTCCTGTCACGTGCTAAAGAGTCTTTGATATGCGACTTGCACCCATCCATATCAAAGCGTTCCAGGGATTTTATATTTTCATGGAAGCAAATTTTATCTAAGCTCTCACAATTATTGACAATCAATTGCTTCAGATCCTTCGAATTCGAAAGGTTCAGTTGTTGAATGTGCTTTGTGACATTCTGAAATCCGACCCACTTGGGATTTATGAAATGAGTAGTTTATGGACATGCTTGTAGTTAGATCTCGCCCGGAATTGATCACTTCGGGAATACTAACCGTTAGGGAAAGGCTAATTAGGGATCTAAATTCGCGCGACCAAAGAACTCGATCGTGAACCGACTTTATACTATGAAAATTGTCGAGGTGACATTTTGAGCCACTGTAGGCCGATCCAAGGATAGCCAGGGATCAGTTCGCCACTATAATATTAGTGGATCGCGGGTGATTCCGTTGGACCACGAAATGAATTGACGAATGACCCTAAACCTATACCAAACGATCGTGCCCGTCGGATCTAGCGATCGATCCTCGCGATTAAGTGACCACCGAGGTCGTCACGACCGGAGTAAACTTGTACGTGGCATGATTCAGTATCGGCCACGGGTCAATAATGCGAATTTCCCCAAAAGCCACCCGTTAGTACGAGATTTGCACAAGTTACGTTATTCAGAACTTAGGCATTAATTAGAGACCAAGTTGGGCATTGGAAATTTAGAAAGTCAGGACAGATCATTTGGATGATGTTGTCATTTGCTCGGGTAGCCTCGGATTTGTCCGAATCCTTCAGAAAAATTGAATTTCAGCGAGAAATGAAAAATGACCATTTTACCCCTGAAAATTTGTTAAGGCCAATGTAATTTGGGAAGGGCATTTTGGTAATTTCGCCCTAGCCTTAGAATTAGAGATTTTTGGACAATTTTGCCCTTGGACTCTTTCAAAAATTCCCAAATTGTCCTTGGATATTTTGGAAAAGATTCGATCTGGGCCGTCGATCTCAGGATAAGAATGAATCTCGATCGTTGATTTGGATTGTGAGAGAGGGGCATGATGGTCTTTTGGGCATCAACAATTGTCCAAAGCTATTTAATCTCATTTCCTCTCTCTCTCTCCTCACTCTCTCACCACTCTCGGCTCACTCTCTCTCTCCCCCTCCTCCCGACCTAGACCACCTCCCCTCGCCGTGCACGTGGCCGTCCGGCCTAGCTAGCAACCGTCGCCGCCTTCCCGCCTGGCCGGAGTAGCCGCTCGCCGGAGCTGCCGCTCACCCCACCGTCCCTTTCTCTCTCTCCCCTATTCTGACTCACCGAACCACCATCACCTTCGTCCTGTCCTGTTCCGCTCAGCCAGGTCGAGCCAGCAGACCGCCGCTCGCCGTCGCCATCCGCCGGAGCTGCTCACCGCCGCCGCACGCCACCACTTGGCCGCCAGCCTACCGTCCCCTTCCCACTCTAGCCGAGCCAGTCTAGAGTTCGAGTAAGTCGCGCCCTAAGCTCTATTTAGGATGTCGGGTATCGATAGACGTGATTAGGGGTTGAATCGGATTAATTAGTGTAGGTTTAGGGGTTAATTGGGGCCATTTAGGGGTTATGTTGGCATTCTGATTTGGAAATGGAGATGGGCTGATTTGAGGTTGAAATTGTGATGTTTTGAGGCTGAATTGGTGCCGGATTGAATGCTGGAAATTGGGACTCGTAGTGACGAGTATTTGGCTCGATTTAAGGGCAAATGGTGTCGGTTTGGTGTACGGTATGGTGGCTGGAATGTGATGTTCGTTATGGCTTGAATTGAGTGAGGAAATGCTGAAATTGTGCTCATTATGTGGCTTTGATTGTGGGCCCGTTAGTGGCCTTGTGTGTTTGTTGGATCGTGTTTTGGTTGATTGAAATGTGAGCCGTTAGGTGCACGCTTGGGCTGAATTAGTTTTTAATTGTCAATTGGCCATGTTGGATGCTTATTGAGCATGAGAAATGTGTGTGAATTTGCGCGTGCACGGGTCACGTGTGATTGGCCAATTTATTGGCATGTGGGTGTTGAGCGTGTGAACGAGTGCGAAATCATTTGTGGCACGGTATGTGTGGTTGCGGAAATCCCTGAGGCGGTACCATAACGTGGGGAATTGATCCGTCCTGAGGCAGTACGACTACGCGGGACGATGCCCGGTATTACCGGAGGACAGCTAACCTGAGGCGGTACCATTACGCGGGTTGTGTCGTAGGTGGTGGGTGTTGAGCCTGAGGCGGTACCATTACGCGGGCAAGATACACGGCCTGAGGTGGTACCATTACGCGGGCCCTGAAGTGTTGTTATGAGTTAGTTGCAGTGAACTTAAGGCAGTACTTCTATGCGGGTCGCTGGCGAGTCGAGTGTGAGATGGTCGCAGTGAACCTGAGGCAGTACCATTACGCGGGTCACTGGCGAGTTGTGTGGAAAGAATGTTATGAGGCCGGAACGAATGCATGAAATGTAATTAGAACGCGCATGTAATTGGGAATGGTGTTGTTGTGACTAACGTGCAGGTTGCACGCTGGAAAGGCCTAGGTAAACATAATTTTGTGCCTGCTATGTGATGGTTGAGTGTGGTTGTAGTTGTGGTTGTGATTGTCTAGAGGTACGTTGTCACGCCCCGAACCCCAACGGGCTCGCGACACCCCTTCGATGGTCGTATTGAATGCGACGTCCCAGGACGCGTCGCCGACCCAAACGAAACACGCGAAGACAAATATAAGCGGAAGCGGAAATTAAATAACCCAGACAATAAATAATAACAAAGGGATAGCACAAAACAATAATTTCAAATACACAACATCAAAAGGGAACACTGGTTGGGTATCCTACTTCGCTAAACAAAAGAGGGGCATCCAAAGATGAAACGAAGCATCAGATGCCTAAGGTCACTCCCGGTCTCTGAACCGCACGTGACAACTATCCGTCACTTCAAACCTGAAAATGTTTAACAACGGGAATGAGATAAATCTCAATAAGCAGACAAACCTAAACCCAACCTAGGCCAATGCGTACCCAGACAAGTCTCAACGTGCAATCTAACCAACGACGTACTAGAAATCACATAGACATACTTACCTCGCTTCTAATCATGCGTCAACTCTGCATATTAGGCAAATCACTATAAGCAATAATATTCCAAGAACACATCACAATCACTCGAGCGCCATACACACGTGCGTTCATCCAATTCAATCAAGCACATTCCACATGCATGTCCATCCAACTATCTACGACCCGTGTAAACACGCCTTAGGTCCTTTCCCACGGCCCGCGTAAACACGCCTCAGGCCCATTCTCACAGCCCGTGTAAACACGCCTCAGGCCCATTCTCACAGCCCGCGTAAACACGCCTCAGGCCTATTCTCACTTTCCGATGACCCGCGTAAACACGCCTCAGGTTCAACTTTCTTTCTAATGACCCGCGTAAATACGCCTCAGGTCCAACTTTCCTTCCACAGCCCGCGTAAACACGCCTCAGGCTCAGCATCCTCTAATGACCCGCGTAAACACGCCTCAGGTCTTTTCTTGCCTTTCTCGCTACACCCGCGTAACCACGTCTCAGGTTGGCAGCCCTCCGATCAATCCGGGCTTTTCAAGCAAACACACACGCCACTTAATTCAATCAATTTCACGTCTTTCACCGAATCAAATATCACACAACCATTTCCAAACGGCGACAACACAATTTGCCATACTTACGCCAAAAAGGCCACGGTTCCACCAATTCACGTTGCATTTCAACAAATACTTACGATCACCATAGAGCGATCACAACCAACCATTAATTCACCACATATGAACACAATTCAAGCATTGGACCACACGGGACAATCGCACACTAAATTGATATTCTAGCCTCAAAGGTCCCTCATACAATCACACCAAGCCACAACCCACAATAGGCGCGTTATCCCCATCACGAATCATCAACATGAACTACCGTCGAACGACCATTAAATCACGCATGAACGACCGACGATCTCGGCATAAATTCCAGCACTAACGACTTCCAATCCAACCACAAAAATCAGCCATAAACCATCGCTATTCAGCCCATACTCCGGCCCATTCACTCTCCCCGAACCAACCCATAACTCAGCCACCCAATCGCGCTAAACGTCCACCAAAACCACGCCGAACAGCCCATGACAACCACTATATCCACTATATTCAGCCCACACACGAACCCCTAAACAAGTCTAGCATTACCCATCATCCTAAGTCGGGATTAGGAAGTCGCTTACCTCGACTTGAGCAAGAAAACGGGTAAGGGCAGCGGGGATTCGCCGGAACAGCAGCGACAGCGATGATCGATGAGACTCTCGGCCACAGCCGGGCAGCAGGGGCGGCAAAGGGCTCCGGTTGAGGCGACAGCAGGGGTGAGCAAGGGTCTCGCTGGAACGGCAGCAGCTCCGGCAAACGCGCAGCGACTCACGGCGGCGACGAATCGGAGGGTGGAACAGGGGCTGGAAGAAGGAGCTCGGCTGAACTAGGGAGGACAGGGAGAGAGAAGCAGCTTGGTGGGGGCGTGAACGGCAAGCTAGCGATGGCGAGCAGGCGGCAGCTGGGAGGACGACAAGGTAGCAGCTGCGTCGGAGGCTGGATCGGGGGGGGCGATCGGCCGATCTGGTTGGCCTCGGCTCCGACGCGACCAAAGCCGCGGGAACAGGGGAAGAAAAGGAAGAGGAGAGGCGACGGTGACAGCTTCAGTCTGGGACGAGCAGCCGATGGCGACGGCGACGGAGAGCTGGGCGAGCGCACAGCTGGCTAGCTGGGGTGGCGGAGGCTCGGCCAGAACAAGGGAAGGTAGATGCGTCGTCGCCGGAGCAGCAGGGGCGACGGCGGCTTGGGGGAAGATGGATTGGTGGCGGCGAGCCAGTGGGGGTGATAGCGGCCGGAACGGCGGCGTGCGGCGGTCGCGGGCGAGGCAAAACAGGGGAGGAGTCAGGGCAAAGAAAACAGGGGAAGGGAAAAGAGAGGGGGGGTCGCAGCGGCGATGGCGCGGCCAGCGGAGGCGCAACTGTTGGACTAGCGTCGGTGCAAGGCGGACGGCCGACGACGGTCGAGCGTCGGCGAGCAGCGGTCAGCAGAGGGGAGCAGGAGCAGCGGTCGGACGAAGGAAGAGAAAGGAAGAAGCAGAAGAGAAGAAAAGAAGAAA